GTGACAGTTTTGGCGACCCAGATGGGACGACGCTTGTGAATCTCGACGGATCCGTGGGATCACGGGACCTCCAGCCGGCACCGAGGGATCCTCGGGGAGAGCCTCCGATCCCCGGACCGAAGAGCCCCGAGCGGCACCCCCCCTGGGAAGGTAAAGGTGCTCTTTTCTTTATGAGGGTGGTTGCCCGCTCGTCAGACGCGGCAAAAGCCCCACAGGGTTGGGCTACGAAAGTGCCTAAGGGAAGGATCGGATCCTCTGGGACAAAAGTCTGTAGGATGCCCGGGTGGTTTGGAATCTGGGAAGGGGGTTGAGTCCCCAACCTCCTGTTATGTTGTGTTAAGATGTTGTTTTTGTAGTTAAGCTGCAAGTGGAAGGAGCGGGTTAGAGTCCTGCTGCAAGTGATACAAGGGGCACAAGTCCCCAGCGTCTTGTTGTTTTGTGTTAAGTCACAGCCTTTTTGGTTTTGAGTTGTTTCCACACCACTTTTTAATGGGTAACAAGCCTTTGGTGGAAGGGGGGGATTTTGAAAAAACCTCTCCTTAGATGTATATTGAAGTATTGGGGAAAGATGGGGGGAATCCTCTTACTCAGAGGCAAGTTACAGAGTATTGTAATTATTAGTGGCCAATATATATTTGAGCACCAGCAGAAACAGCCACAGAATGGAACTTTGGTGTATAATACAATATTGCAATTAATGTTATTTTGCAGGAGAGAGGGAAAATGGGATGAAGTGGCTTATGTAGATTTATTCTTTGCACTAAGAAACCATGCAGAGTGGCATAAAGAATGTGGAATGATTCCTCAGGATCCTATGGTTTTGGCTTTAGAAAAGGAGGGAGGGTGCAAGAACTTGAAGAGGTGTTGTTCAGCCTGTAGTATCAGTAAGAGGCGTTCAAAATGTAGATTGGAGGAAGAGGAGGGTGATTTAGGATAGATGGTGGTACCCCAGCAGAGGTTGGGGAATGGTTTGAAGGAAGACCATGTTAGTAGTAGTAGCAACTTAGAGAGAGAAGAGGGATTTTGGGAAAGGAGAGGAGAGACTGGCGGACTTATGGAGGCAGAGGGATTTAGTAATTTTGTGGGGAGGACTAGAGGGAAGCAGAGGATGGGAGTGGTCATTCAAGCTCCTCTCCGACAAGTGGTCGGAAACAATGGGCCAGCAACAGTTAAGGTACACTTTTCAATAATGGATTTGTGATTGCGGAAAGAAGACCACAGGAGTATGTAGGGAGTACCTGGAAAGAGT